CCATGGGGGGCTGCGCCGTGGGACTTCCCGGGAGCTGTGGGGCGGCAGCCCGGCTGTGCTGCGGGCACGGAGCCAGGAACGGCAGGAGTGTAACTCCTGTGACCTCCTGATTTCACCTCTCCAGAGGGTTCCCAGCCCACATTCCTCCTGCAGGCAATTCCGGGGTGCCCTGCCCGTGTCCCCAGCCGGCACGCACCCGGATAAACCCGGCTGTCCCCGTCCCACGTGGGGCCGTCGCCCGTGGCGGCCGGTGGGTGCGGTGCCTGACTCAGGGTGGGCGGCACACGTGCGGCGCAGCGGGATATCCATGGATCCGGGATGCATCCGGGCTGCTTCCCTGGAGACCCCACCCCGCGTGGGACTGTGATTCCCTTCTAGGGGGCTTCCCTCCCCCTCACCCCCCCGGGGCTGGGGGAGGCTGAGCCTGCTGTAGCTCAGTATATAAGCGGCCCGCCGGGATGCCCATGGATCCGGGATGCACCCGGGATGCTTCCCTATGGATCCCACCCCACCTGCGGCTGCAATCCCCCTCCAGGGGGTTTCCCCCTCCAAGGAGTTTCCCCCTCCTCAGCTGGGAGAGGCTGAGCCTGGCACAGCTCAGTGCACGTGTGGCTGCGCGGGCTGCCCATGGATCCTCACTGCCGATGGATTCGGGGTGCTTCCCTTGGCATCCCACCCACCTCCGGAGGTTCCCACTTCCATGAGTCGGGGGAGGCTGAGCCCGGCACAGCTCGGTGCATGAGTGGCTCCTTCTCTCTGCAGGTGGGGTGATCAGCTACGTGGGCTCCAGCGGCGCCTCTCCCACCCGCACCAGCCCCGTGTCCCTCTGCAGCGACAGCTCCAACGGCAGCTCCCAGTCGGGCTCGCAGCCCTTCCCCACCTACTTCCCACCGTCACCCACCGGCTCCCTCCAGGATTCCCGCGCCTATGGTGGAGCCACGCTGGCCCCCCATGAAGACGGTTCCCCTTCCTCCTCCTCCTCATCCTCCTCCTCCACCTCCTCTTCCTCGTACGGCTCCTCGGTGAATTTCCCCGGGGTGCAGCCGGTCCCCGCGGACGAGCGGCGCCGCAGCTCGCCAAGCAAAGCCGGCAGCACCGTCACGAGTGAGTGGGGCTCG